CCCGGCCGCTGGCGGCCGAACCGCCGATAGCTCTGGCGCAGGAGTCGTTTTATATAAGAAATAGGCTGAATTGTTGAGGCACTTCTCAAGAAATAAGTAATATTTTCTTTGCTACATAAATAATGCTTATTTTCATTAATTAAATATATATATATATATATATATTATGCCAGCGGCCGGGCGGTAGTGGGGGAACAGGAGGTGTCGTCTGGGAAATTGGCCCGAAATGTGCAACTAATTCCGAGCGCTGCACTATAACATCCAGACATATTTGCGGCGTTGTCGTAAGATTGACCTGCAGTTTTGAAAATCGATCTTTAAGTCTTCTAAAGTTTTCAAAACTGCGGTACCCATTTGTTCTCCTTTGTGCCCAACATTTGGTAAAAAAAAGAGAAAACGTTCTACAGGACAACTATTGACAGAAACATATCGAATAACAAGAGTTAATTGGTCTATATTTTCGATATCTGGCGTTGAGTCAACAATTATAGAAAAATATTTCGCATTTTATTTCTTGAACAATAGATTTTCTAACGTGTTCGCCTAAGATTTCAATAAATTCATCGCAGATCGTATTCGATAGATATGAAACGTGCCCTCTGTTTTTGTTTCCATGTTGTGCAATATGGACCTTTAAAAAATCGTCGTATTCCAATAGCTCCAAAGTTCCAAGAAAATTTCCATTGTGAAAGTTAAAAAATTGCTCATTACTACCACGGAAGGCCAATCCACGTGAAGCCAAAAATCTTACCACAGACAAAACTCTTTTTAACACCATACACCAATAATTTTTTTTGTCATATTGTATTTCGAGAGCTGTATCTACAAGCCCTTCAATTCTAGATTTTGTTAAAAACAATCCTACCGATTTTTGATGAGAAGAAGATATTTCGTATTGAGTAATTCTCTCTTCATGTTTCCAATCTTTAAAAGCATTTCAAAATAATAAGAAATATATTACTAAAATTTACATAAATAAATAAACTCACATAAATAACAAGTTAAAAAGTTAAAAAGTTAAAAAGTTAAAAGTTAAAAAGTTAAAAAAATTATGTTTTGGCAGTATTTGCATAAGGTATTTTCTGTGAGTTAATTTCTGCATTGGATAATATGGAATATCCTCGGTTTTATGAGAAATGTTGTAATCATCGTATTAAAATAAATTTCTATAAACTCTGAAATTAAGGTACTAAAACAAGTTTCTATAAACTCCTGGAAATTAAAGTATTAAAACAAATTTCTATAAACTCTTTGAAATTAAAGTATTAAAACAAAGTTCAATTATGTACTCAATATGTAATATGTATTCAATTACGAAGCATTTGTTTCTGTAGATCATAACCTGTGTATTTACTTCGGTATTCCTTGTGTCGTCAGCAAATGTAGTTGTTCTTACTTCTCTCAGGTTCGGTATATCATTTGTATATAAGAGAAACAGGACGGGTCCCAAAACATTGCTCTATGGTACTCTTGCTGATATTTTCTTTAACTCAGAATATTCTTCTTCGCATTTGACTCTGAAGTGTCTGTCTGCGATTGCAGCACTGTAGGTGTAGTATTTACAGGCCGCTCAGGCGGATGATCATGTTCGCACAATAAATTATATGTGCCTTCGCCTGTTTGTTGCAGCCTACCCGGGCATTGGAAATTTCGTCGTTTCTTACACCGGTATATATTTTTGCAACGTTTATCTTTGTGATAAATAAATCCATCGTATACATATATTATCGTATTCGCCCTTTAGCCGGGAAATTCTTCCATCTATAAAGATTGCATATAAATGTTATAGATAAATATTATAGATACAGTCACGGACAAAATTGAGTGGACACCCGTCTATTTTACAAAGGGTCCGACGCCCATACAATACCATCCCTCAACGGGGCGCCCGCTTAGAATCACGGAACCTACTCCGAAACCCGATCCGAAACTACCCTGCAACGAGTAAGTTAGTTCATTTGTTTTTATTTTTCCTCTCATCGGTATTCTCTTTATTCCTATTGTGTGCCCCGTCCCTATTCCGTTTAAAATTTTTTTGTTATTTATTAGTGAGAACTGAACATTCGCCGCGACCCAGCAATCGTCGGAATCGTTCAGACCTCTCGGCATTCGCTCTATGCCTAGCCATATTTCTCTCTTTGTATATTAGATACGCGGCGAGGGTCATCGTAAGACCCGTTAGAATTAGGCGATACTCGTCATTCAATAACTCTCGTACAACCACACACACGCAAACCGACCCACTTCCTGTATTACCATCGATTCCTCAGGAATCTCCTCAACCCTTTCCCGTGTTCGACTTTCCACCACTTTCTACTTCCAAATCTATCTCTTCGATCCTTGAAGAGCTCCTGGAGTACAGACCCCCTTCGCCTGTCCGTTTCTATCCTCCTCCAGTAGAGGCTCAACTGGAGGAATTCCCACGTAACGATCCGGAGTTCGACAACATATCTGTCAACTCCGAAGCCACCACCATAGAATACATCGAGCCTCCTCCCAATCTTGCTCACCCTGTATTCACAGGGTTTGACTTCCTAAACCTAGTCCTCTCCCCTGAGGAATAACACACACACGCGAAAATTTATACTCTCAATCACTATTGTAAAAATACACAAATAAAATTATAAACACATGCGATTAAGAGTTAAGTTTTTGTATCCAAATTAAAAATCCAATTAATTTAAAATGTTAAGCCGTTAGCAAATTAAACTTTTGTTTTATTTATTTAATCACCCTCCTCGTTCGTCACCCCCTCACACCTTCCCTCTCAAATTGCGCACAAAGGTTCCGTCCCGGGTAAAAGAGATTCAATTCCTTGACCCAAAAAAGGAACTAACGAGCGGTTGACCTGTCGACGGAGTAAAAACGACTCCTCCAGTCGCTGACCCGTTGCAAGTCCTAAACGTGCCGCTCGGTTCGTGCGGTCAGGCCCGTTTACATTGATCGCCGAGCCCAAGAAAAAATTCAACTTCTATCAGGACGTAACAATATGTATTAATATGTATTATTATATGTATTCCCAGCAAACCATATGTTTTATATATATATATAATGTATATATGATAATAAGTATATATGATGTGATGTATGTATGATTATGTACTTTATGTTTGCGCAATAAAAACACAACAAAATAAAACAAGAAAATGTATTTTTACTCATACACACCTTTATATAATCATATATAAATATATATATTTATATTCATTTATATATAGGTGTATCTATTTATGTATGGACAAATTCGGTATATAATTTTGTATAATTAGATATGTACTATTTTTGTCTAATTATGTATGAGAAATTTTTTACCGGGTTATCATCTGTAGTATCAGGAAATGATTTTCGTATAACACCTGGAAAAAAGATATTTATTAATAAATTAAAACAAATATCACTATAATGTAATGCAATGTAAATTAAGTAACATAGCGGTATGCAACAATGAAAAAACTGTATATTTATCTTCACAAGGCAATTTGACATATTTTGTAATGACATTTTGTAACGGCCATGATTTCAAATTAGAATAAGAGTGTACAGTATAAATTCCAAGTAATGAGGATGGGCAAGGAATATTATATAGATTTTCTCTTTCCAAAAATTCATGACCTATTATTATTGGAATATTTCGCTTAGTGCAGTACGCTATATTTTGTATACACACAATTGCACCACATTTTAAGCCACAACAATTATCCGCCAGTGATCCAGCTTTTAATGTCAGTCCATTATATTTCACAATTTTGTATTGTGGATTGGTGCTGTTGTCTGTCAGTGGACCATCAGAATGCAATGCCATTAAACTGGGATGTTTCATTATACAATCTGATAAAGTAATCAATGATAGTGATGATTCAGAGTTTATTTCTTTTTCAATGCATCTGCGCACTACTTGCGATAAAGGTCTATCTGCTTTTCTAATATATTTCTTTATTATTTGTCATGTAATTTTCGAATTTGAATGCACTAAAATTATCAAGTGGCCCAAATTTTTAGGTACATCAGAAACAAGATGTATAAGACTATGCACGTTGTGTGATATATGTTGAGTTCCATATAGTTTCTTAAATGTATTTATAAAAAAAAGAATCAATTCTTGCGCATAGGTTAGATGTTCGTTTAATTTTTGTGATGACAAAATTCTTACAATCACATGTAATGTTAGAAAATTAAAAAAAACATTCTTTTTTAATTTGGATTTAAAAGCTAATGGACCTATATACAATAATATCATTCTATACTCCGTAGCCTTCCATAATTTAACACAATCGAGTTTTCGTAGCTTCCTTGCAAATTCTACAGGTATTGAAGGTTTCAGCTGTGTTACTAGACTTGTAGAAATTTCTTCAACAGTTCTTGATTGTAATCGATACTGAATGTCTCCCACAAGCCATAAATATATCAATTTGCGCATAATTCCCAAACATATCAAATGCATGTAATCCAAAGGAACATTTGTCACCGGCATAAAATGAGGTAATTTCAGTAAAACACAAGTGATATTTGGCTTGTGATAATTATCATCTATCTTTTGAATGAAATTTCGTCATTTGTTCGAAGTGGCGCATCGACTTGTGGGAAACATATTCGATTACAAACATATTCTCCTTCTGTTTGACATTTAGTACAACTATAGTATCCTGTATGTCCTTTCACACAAAGAACGAATGATTTTGCTGGTGTGTCGCAAATTAGAGCTTCTAGCCTGCATGGTATGTTACGGCCATTAAAATTAATGCCATTTTCGAATAAATCTTTTGCTTCATCAAACAAAATCCCTACAAAAAATCGTTGGCATTTGCTGGTTTTTCGTTACCGTAATAAAGTCCAATTATAAAAACATTATTATATGGAACAACCGAACCTAATATAGGCCAAAATTGCTGTGTTGACGATTTTGATAGTGGTAACCCATCAATATTAATAGTTATTTTTATACAATCAATGTTATCTTTTATAGATGCTAGTATCTTTGATACGGAATTTAATACACCAAAATGATAGTAGCTTCCTGGCGCTATCATACGTATTTCTTGCTTCCTTGGTGTTTGTAAAAGTGTTCTTGGATCTGATGATAACGTTGAAAAGCAAGAATGTTTTCTCAATCTGTGTAATAATGCTCTTAAAGCAATGTGAGAAATTTGATATTTTACTAGCCCACATAGCTAAATCACTTATTATATTACTGTCTATTATTTCTTGTATTTTCTTGATAGATAAGGTAAAAATTACTTCAGATGATTGTTGCGAATCAGATGTATAATTATTTGATTGTCTGCATTCATAATCATTTTTATCTTCTATAGATGTTTCATTAATAATTTCCCTCACTTCATTAATAGTACTATTACCAGCGATATCCTCATCAATCGGAATATCACAACCCATTGTGGAAACATTTACAAAAGTTTTTGTGGAATTTTCATTAATATTAATATGTGATGTTTCATGTAATGTGCTGAGAAGAACATCAGAAATCATTTCCGATTCTAACTTAGTTATTCTGTCGAAGTGACGTTTTGATACATATGAAATATTTCTTCTTTGGTGCTTTCGATTCATTTTTATTCTATTAGAATGTGTTAATATACAATTATTGTTAATGCGGACAATATATAGCAGAGAGAATGCAGTTGTTCTCCATTTTCACACAAGTCTAAAGTTATGTGAGTATTTTATACTCAAATAATGACGTCATTGTTCAGTGAATATTAAAGATAGAAATGAATTAAATTCAAGGCTAATAAATTCAAAATTAACAATAAGAATAAAAAGCAAACAGACCAGTGCTAGATGTTCGTGCGTGTGTATTGAAATACAATTATAAAATAAACAACTTATATCAGCTCATCTTCAAATTCTTACAAAAATTGATTTATCATACATTATAACGTTTTTGAAAATAAATTATTTATCATTGCTAATTATTCGCACGCAATATCTTGTTAGAATTTCGCATTATGAAATCGCTGAGAATTCCAAGTATTAATGTATTGTTCATGGTCAAATTTAATGTTAAGACTAAAATTTAAATTATAAAAAAAATATTAATTTGGAAGAAATGTTAATTACATAAAATATGATTTCATATTATATAAAAGATACGATTTTAATTATATAAAATAATTCAAATCTTCAATTTGGTTCTTCTGTTAATATATAAATTAACGGAAGATGACCTGATACAGGTTGAAACGTTATTTATTTCATAATTGTACTCCAATACATACGAACATCTAGCACTGACTGTTTACTTTTATTCTTCTTGTTTTTGATTTAAAAAAAACGCGCAAGTTTATGGGCCACTTTTTCCAACGACGGTTACTGTTAACCGTCGATTTCAATTTTTTAATAGAATTGCTAACATAAAGAATAAAATATTATTATTAAAGATAACAAAAATGTTTAATCTTTTTCTTTTTTGATGGCAGTATTTCATTCATATTAGCCATTCAACACACAAATTTATAACCTCACTTTTAATATGAGTTAACAAACCTCAATAAAGCACACGATTTTGAGCTTGTGCAGATTGTAGGTAAAAACTCAATTGAATCTCATTTGTCAGAATGAAAAGAAACGTGCATTCAACTGAGTTATGACGTCAAATGAGAATTATCTGAGTTTTGGTGTAAATGGAAAGCAACTTGGAAGCAAAAAAAAACAAGAAATTGACTAAAGACTAATAAGAGTAATAATAATTTGAACAAACCTTAGAGAATATTGGTTGCTTTCACGTAGACTTATTTTTGAAATGGCAATCACGGCACTTGCTTTCTTGTATTAGACAGTTCTTCTAATAACACTTGCGCGAGCGCTAGTATCGCGAGTCCTGGTAAATAGCGAGCCAGAAGGAGATACGAGCGCTCTCTCTCGGAGATTAGGAAATTTAAAGCTGCATTCTGAAATTCACTCTCTCTGTCAGCACTGCATAAATTATTTTACGTAACTTAAAAGTATGTTCTAAGAATATACGAGAATGTACGAGAAGTAATATACTATAAGAGATATTATAAGAATGTTCTGAGAATATACGAAAAATAATATACTATAAGAGATGTTATAGAAATATTCTCAGTATATTATGTATAGTACGTATATTCACAGTATGACTACAGAATATTCGAATGATATCATGTGCTGTGTGGGTAAGTATGTATAAAAAGTACTTACATGTAATTCTATACTGCAATCGCTCCATTTATATATATATAACGTTTTATAATTCGTCATGTATAATTATACATATTTTTACACAATTATGTAAAATATTGTATAACTCTATTAAATGCTATATAATTATACAGGGTGATTCAAAATAACCTAATGTCCTCGCAATGCCATATTCTTGAGCGAATTCTGAGACGATTTTCCTTTTACAAAATTTTGTCCGAAGTTTAGTTTTCGACTTATAATTGAAAATAGTTTACTACTTACGAGTCCGATACAACGGACAGACAGGGACGGTGCAATGCGTCATGAGACGATGGTTGCGTTCCGTTTCGCACATTATGCGCACGAATTACATAGAAAACGTTCCGTTTCATTCAATGCGCGCATGAACAGCGCTTAGAATTCCCTAGATCCCCACCACCTGCAGCGCATAATACACGCATCAGCTACCTCAAGTTTGAGTTGCAGCAGCTTATGCGTTCCATGCGATTGCGTAATTGCATATGGCGATTGATAGCGATATTGTAAAAAGTGTCAAAATAGGAAGAGTCATTGATGATTCACTACTATTACTGTCACTCATTTCATCAATTAATAACATTGTCACATTGATAGCGCAATTTATTGTGGAATCCATTTTGATTTTCCGCTTCTAATGCGTTCAATATCGTTCCGTTTCAAAGCATGTATCATGCGCATAATGAAACGAAACGCAGCCAATGCGCTAAGCATTAGCGATGCGAACGATGCGTGCTATGCGCAAAACGGAACGCAACCGATAGTAAACACTTGACAGTCTCATTATGGGCTTGTTCGTTTTAGCTACACTGGGGCTGCTCTGGGTCTGCTCTACACAGGATAATACAGGACAGATAAATAGTTTGTCCTGTATTATCTTGTTTAGAGCAGACCCAGAGCTGCCCCAGTGCAGCTAAAACGAACAAGCCCTATACGTTGCGCGTCTTTGCCTGCCCGTTTGCCTGCTACCGAACTCGTAAATTGCTATCTATTTTCAATTATAACTCGAAAACTAAGCTTCGGACAAAATTTTGTAAAAGGAAAAATTGTCTCAGAATTCGCTCAAGAATATGGCATTGCAAGAACATCTGGTTATTTTGAATCATCCTGTATATGAGAAATTTTTACCGGGCGATAGCTCGAAGCAACAAACAACGCATATCTTTTTTCTTACTAATTGTTTAGAGAATGTACTTTAATATGAACTTGCATAAGATGATATGCAAAATACTCGCGACACGCGCATTTGTTTCTTACGCGATGTGCAAGTCATAAAACAGCAAGTTTTGTGCGAGCAGTGGCCAGTTGTGTTTAAATGTGCAGTGCTTTTCGAACGAAGTAAAAGAATTTCCCTCTAATCAGCATATGATAATCAGATAAAAAATAATAAATCAAGAAGGTACCGCTAAAGAATAGAATATTTTTTTGGAGTATAGAATAGTGTGGATTACAATTAAGTAAATAAAACGAATTTTTCTTGACGATCTATAAATATATTCAAAGTGCTAATCATTAAAAATAATTCTTATTAAAAAATCACTTTTCAAGACAAGTATGGCATTATATATTTCTTTTTCAGCATGCTTCTTTTAGCAGAAATATTGGTGCTTCTTTTCAAAATTCTTTATTACATCTGCGAGAGTGTATATAAATTATTTGCTCCAATAAAAAAAAAAATGTGGCTGGTGAAATTGTTCTGGTATGTACAAAATTCACAATATACAATGTATAGCTATAGACAAGATTAATTATCAATAGACACTGCAATAGGTAACAGGTGCGGGTCACGGTATAGGAAAGGAATTAGCAATTGGTTACGCCTTGTTAGGAGCTACAGTAGTATGTTGGGACATTAATGAAGAAACCAACCAACAGACAAAGAACGAGATTAAAAAAATGGGAAAAGACTCTGTACATGCGTATCGGTTAGCTAATAATCTCTGTTTCTTACGAATATCTGATAATATAAAAAAAATTTAGATAATTTGTCCGTGCATTATAAGCTAAATATTCTATACTGATTAAAATATGGTCGCATTTTACAGATGCGATGTAACAAACAGAGAAGAAGTCTTCAAGGTGGCCGAAAAAGTAAGAACAGAAGTGGGCGACGTTACTATTTTAATTAATAATGCTGGTGTAGGAATTGTTAAAACACTTCTAAATTATAGCGACGATGAAATTACGCGAACCATAAATGTGAATGTTATCGCGCATTATTGGGTAAGTGATATATCTCACAGCACATCTATTTAGAAGCTGTAAAATGTATGAAATAATTGTTAATATGCTTTATATTATTATATGTTTGGAAATAAATAGCTAAATTAACTCGTAATTGAAGTACAAGTTGAAAGCTCCACAGAAGCAAAAGCTTAATAAAGTACTGCTATTATTCAATGGTAAATTATTTTCAGATATTGCGTGCATTCTTACCAAGCATGATTGAAAAGAACCATGGTCATGTCGTTGCGTTATCATCAATATTAGCAATTGCAACGACAATGTATTCGACAGTTTACTCTCCTACAAAATTCGCAGTCAGAGGTAATTTAACTCATATTAAGAGATTACAATCTTTCGTATAATAATTTAATATATATTTAGAATAATTTATAACGTATAATTATCCCAGCAAACACTAATCAACAGTAACATAACATTGATGTTATAATTTCCCACTCAACACTGTTACTGTTATGCATCGTGTGTTTGTTGGGTTATCTTTAAAGATAATAGATTAAGTATTTAGTACAAGCTATAATTAGAATGTTGTTCATGTTGATAATATCCTGACTTGTGATATGTATATTTCAGCACTTATGGAGACTGTTAATGAAGAATTGCGTTTATCCAGTAAGGGAAAATCTTTGATTAAATTCACTACCGTTTTCCCAACTGTGTAGTGTTTAACGGAATGCTTAAAAAGCCAGTAATGAGGTAAGTATTTAAGAATATGTTGTTATAATAAATATTTTACGATGGCCAGAACAATATTATAAATTATTATTTTTTAAAATTTAATTATATTTTTGTCAATATAGATTTCCCAGTTTAATAAGTCCATTATATCCAAAAGAAGCTGCTTCATTAATAATTGATGCGCAAAGAAAAAATTACAGAGAAAGGGGTATACCTTCTCATGTGCTACCATTATTATCGTTATTTAGGTAAATAGCATAAATAGCGATTCAATCAATATATGTATATTAATAATAATCATAATATTTGCAAATAAAATATTGCAAAATAAATATAATAAAACATAAACAGTTGCAACTAATACATGTAAAATTATAATTTTTATGTTCACATTTTCTATATATAAAAAAAATATTATTTTTGTTGTAGAATTTTTCCGAACAAAGCACAAGAATGCGTAAAAGATTTCGTTAATCTTAGTGCCGAACCAGATAATTAAAAAAGCAATGTCATGCAATTGCAATTACGTTAAAAATATAACAAATGTGTGGTTTTTAAAATATCTGTGTAATTTTATAACATAATCACTAATAAATACGTATGTATATACTTAAAATGATGTGTACTTGAATACCCAGTCAGCAAAATCTGTTTGAACAGATATTGCCAAACGTCTACTACAAATTTTTATCAGCAGAAAGACTGCAGATTGTATACAATCTGCAGTCCTTCTGTGATTGTATACAAAACCTGTTACATCAAATGATGATAGCAAAATGTCAGCAGAAATGTTACAAAACCTGCTGACATAATTTGACAGCAGATCTGTAGCAGAAACCGAGTAGGATTACTCGGAATTGTTACAGCAGATTGACGGCAGAAATCGAGTAGGACCTGCGCAACGCAGTTTGATGTCAGATTGACGACAGAAATAGAGCAGGATCTATGCAACGCAGTTTGATGTCAGATTGGCGGCAGAAATCGAGCAAAATCTGAGCAGTGCAATTTGATGTTGTTTGCCGCTATGCGGCGTGTTTCTTCATATACAGGGTGTCTGGTAATTGCTGAATCACCTCTCGGGTGTAAGTAAAGCGGGTTAAACCAAGTGGAAAAGTCCTCTACCATTTTGCAATTTTTAATTAAAATTTTAATTAAAAAATATCGGCCAATTTGCGCGGCGAGAAGAGACCTGTGGCGATACCCACTGTTATTTGATTACTAGGCGCACGATAAATCGTTGGGAGGAGCGCTCTATAAATGACAACGGCACATACGAGCGATGTATAACGCTAGATCCTTGTGTCCTAGCGACCACGTAACAACGGGTTGTCTCTTCTCGCCGAATTGGCCGATATTTTTAAATTAATTCCTCATTAATTATTGCGAAAATCGCAAAACGATAGAGGACTTTTCTACTCGGTTTAATCCGCTCTACCTACACCAGAGAGGTAATTCAGCAATTATCGGACACCCTGTATATATGCATGTATACTTCATAACATGCTAATCTTTATTTCTAATTTTATTCGTCTTATTGATTACACAAGCGCGGCACAAACGATGCGTTATGCATATATATGCATGTTATGAAGTATTCGGAAAAATGTTCTGATCAAAGAACAAAGTTTACTAAAGTTGTTGCCAAGGCATCCCCTCTATATTACATTTTTATAGTAATATACTAGAACAATACAAGCGCGCACTGCGTGCGCGCACTTATTATAATAATTTAATAATTATGAAATCTAAATATTTTAATAAAATTTTTTTATTTTAAGTAACCGTCAAAATAACCTTCGCTCTCAAACTATCAAACTGTCAGAATAATCAAGATAACCAACCAGCGTCGTGGAAAAGCGTCAATAATACTTTCGAATATCGATCTTTCATGCCTTTTTTAAGAGTGGATTATATCGAAAGAGAAATAAATAAAAAAAATTCTTACAATTAAAATGCAATTTATTGTTTTTCAATGTTAATGCAAAGAATTCCAATTAATTTCAAGTTTTTTTATTAATCAATACTAGAAACATTTGTTTGTTTATTTGTTTATTTCCTTTATAATAATATATGTCGAAACAATTACAACTTTATCTTCAACAATAACATACTACATATATTGAACATAATACATATATTAACATATATTAAAAAC